GCACTTGTGCCCACCAATTACGAGAGAAGCTGCTTTCCTCTATGGTTCTTCCCGTTCTTCTCCTTCCTCGTCTCTTGCTTGCTGCAATCGGGAAGGTCACGAAGATACGCTGCAGTTGTGGGCTCGGGAAACAACAAGAACGAGGAGAGACGACGATGGGAGGCATCTGGGCATCTCTGAACTTTGACCTGAACTTCTTCACACCGCGACCCGGGAAAAAGAGAGACCGTATATTATTTTGTTTTTTATTAATCCCGCGTTAAAAGTCAACAATTATTGTAATCGAGAACATTAACTAGTTGAATTTAAGATCGATTGCGAAAATCTATTCATATAGGAATCTAAAATTTTCAAGCAAATATCTAACATTTTCACGCTCTCTTCGAGTCAGATTCAATTCCAATAATGTCATTAATATTATTGAAAAATATCAAATACCTGTGTATGTGTGTGTATTTAATATTTATAGAAAATATCTTGAAAATGTTACTTGTAAAACTTGGCTTAAATATCGGTATGAATATAAATATCGGTTATACGCGATGAAGAGAGTAAAGTAGCAGCGGAGAATGACGTTGACCTAATTTCAGATTAGTAACTGTCGCACGAAGAGAGAGAGCGCACATGTTTCATTTGATTTATGTCACAGCACCACGAAAGACAAGTTATCCAAGCAGTTCAACCTTTTGCTATATAGTTCTGTTGTAGACTGCGTCTTTATTAAGTTAACGTAAACACGATTAAATGGATCGATATTAACGATAATTTTATATCGATAAAATGCTAATCGTAAATGTTATTAAATAACTTCTACTTTTTTCCATTAAAATTACATTTATATTTCTTTAATTCAAATTTTTAAAAATTTTTAGATTTTAACATATAATATTTTTAGTTCATAATTTTACATATACTTTTTATATATAATATGTTTGTTATTCGAAATATTAATAAGTATTATTTTTAGCATCATAAGATTCTATTGATATCTTTATCAAAAAAATTCGTTATCTAGATTTGTAAAAGAATTTTATCTAATGATCCATCATAAGTTTATAAGTCATGAAAACATTTAAAAGTATTCAATTTGCATATCTAAATGCAAGAGAAAGAAACGCTAAAAAAAGCATATTATATTTTAATCGTATTCATTCTTATGAATAACTTTTTTCACAACATACGTACAAAGTCACATAATAATAATAATAAAAATAAATCAATTATTCTCCAGAAAACCGTCGTAAACATTCATTTTTATAGTCGAGAGAAATCGGGGGTGTACGAAAGAAACGAGCAGCAGCACGATGGGAGGAGAAAACGAAGGTGGAGGCGAATATGTGCGCTTTTGCCCGTTACGAGAGAACGTGCGCCGGCTTTCGTGCCACGCCGAGATAAGTGGTGTATGATTTGGCGATGATTGATGGGGTCGTAGGTCAAAGTGATCAGCGGCGCTCCGGGCGCCTTGGCTCACCTGACTTCTCGGCGCGGATCTGAAAGTCTGGAATACTGGGGTTCTTCCGTGGCTTTCCGTGTGTAATACGCCTTCGTTCTCCAACCCTCTTCTCTGTTTTTCTCGCGCAGATTTTTATATATCGATTCAATGTTGATAACTATGGCATAAATTTAGTTATCGATAAAAATTCCGCGATGTCGATGATTTCTTGCAATCTTCCGATTAAGAAAAAATATTCGCTCGTTGCGCGTGCGATTGTAAAATATATCAGTATTCGATAGATGATAAAGAAAATCTTGCGAAAATTTGGTCATCGCAATGTATTCAATATCCATCGGCATACGATTAATTCAATCGTTAATTATTGACATTTGTAATATTGAAATTATCATAGATATATTCGGTAAAATGCTGATCATTTCATCTTCGATATCGCTGAATAATTATGTAGTTTAAAGTTATTTAGCAGCTTCTCGTCTCTCTAATGCGAGTTACGTATATCGACGAGAGAAATGACCGCCCAGCGAGAAAACAAGCAGAACAGAGACTTATTTTCTATAAACTTTTTTTCGGTTTGGCGCGTTACGAAGCCTGCGCAAGCAATGTCGATCACATTAATTCAGGATAATCAATTTAGGCCTAATTGAGGATTACGACGAACGGCTCGGGGATCTCTCTCGAAACCCGTCTCTTCCTCACCGTCGGAATGCAGACGACCGTGGCGTTAATAGATTAATTTATTATGTTAAAGCCCTCAAAGACACCGCCCGATTTCGTAGCTCGACGACATATTATTATCGTGTCACGGCCATCGTTAAAAGAACTCCACGAAGAACCGCGAAACTTCTACCGATGGAATGTTAATTTCATCGCGACGCACGTGTTCAGGTATGCATACGTAGTGTGGAAGACATCAGATTTATTTTATATTTTCTTATTTTATTCTGTTTATAAATTTTCTTTTTCGTGAAATATAAGGATTTTTATAATTAGTAAAAAAAAGTGTACACACAAATTTTTGATCGACTTGTTTTTTAACAAAAAGTAGAAAAAGATTTTTTTGATCTCATCTATCTTTTTATCTTTTTTTTTTAATTTTGTGATGTCTGAATCCAAGTTTCTTTTGCAGCGATAAAATGACGACTTATATTCAAGAAATCAATCAAGGAATTATTTATAACAAAAGTAACAAATATCAAAGATTAGTTATGTATGTATTTTTATAAATATAATTATCGTTTTTTTAATGCCAAGAAAATTGAAAAATTTGACAACGATGGCTTAAAATTGAAATCTCTTTTAGCTTTTAGCAATAATTTTAATGAGAAAAAAATTCATTTTATCAAGTCATTAATCGATTTTATTTGTTATATATATTATGTGCATAAAATATCATTAAATTAAATTGATTGACACATATTTTAATTAGTATGTTTTAATATCTATTTTATTATTATATGTTTTATATATAATTTTATAAATAAAAATTAATTTTTTTATATCGATGAAACTACTTGTTAAGACAGTATTTGTTTTAACAAAATATTTTTATATATAAGTATTTCATATTTGTCAAATCATACTTTATTTCTAGAATGTATGTATGCTAACAACATTATAAAAGTATATACACACATATTACCTACAATTTTTATAACTCATTGTCAGTAATAGGTTCTAGCATTTGATATTTAAAGAGAAAAAAAAGATTTAAGCTTCGATCGTGTAAGAGATTTTACCGGACTCGACTACATAAAAAATATATTAATTATACAATGCACAAAATTTAATATTTAAATCTTTAATGGAAAATACGAACAAAAAAATAGAATTTTCTGCAAGAATCTTTTAATTGAAATATTTACGCTTTTATTAGACTTGCGCGTCTCTATACCTCTGCTACGCTGCACGGCTCAAGCGAGACTGGTCACGTGATCATCAGTACGCTACATCATAATTATCCACATTGATATGTACTGTGTATATCAGTCTTATATATTCTCGATATGACATAAAATTCATGTTCAGCATATGTGTTGTGATAACATAAGAATGATCTTGTCATATTTTGTGCGATTACAGAAGAAGATTAAACAAACGAATTTATATTTTATTTTGTAAATATATTTTGTTTAATAAAATATTTTATTATAGTAGATTTATATTAATTATATATATAACTTATTTTGTAACATTTTGGATTTGTGATCTAATGGCAATAATTTTTGAAATAATAATAGAGCAACAAATTATTGTCTTCTTAAATATTTTAGTTTAATCCTAAACGCTTAAATTAAAAATTTCAGTATATATATTACATGATTGAAAACATAAATGTTACTTATATTAATAATACTGTTAATTCTAAAAAATATTACTTTTACGAACTAAACATGTGCTCATTGTTTGTATCTTATAATTAAATTGTGTTCTATTTATTCTTTATCTTTAAAACATATTGAAGAAACTTATTGATATTTTTTTCTAATGACTTACCTTTTATATCAAAATTCTATACAAATTAAAATAATTCTTTATTGAATAAACTATAATAAGCACAGTATTACGACACGTCCTTATATCCAGAAGTATATACCACATAATTACACTCTTATTGTTCCGAGAGATCACTGAAAACTGACGACAATCTCGATACTTGATACTATAATAAGTATGTAATGTCACGTAAACAAAGTCGTCAGTTGTTTTCCTAACTTATTAACACAATCAAATATCAATATATAAAATATATTTTCATATTACTTTAAAAGTTAACTATTTTATAACACTATTCGATAAAATAAACGAAATGATATATTTATTTTTTAGCAATGAAATACTGATGCATTTTATTAAAATTTTTACAATGTATTATAAAATATAAAAATGTTGCATTACATATGTAACAATTGCATTAAGAAAATAATTTTGTTTATAATAATAAAACAACAATTTTTGGATTATGAAAATGTACAGAAAAAGATAACAATATAAAAAATTGTACTGCATAATTTGTGTATTATAAATGAGAGATACAAACATATACCAATAATTTTAATATTAATACAAATAAAAAAAGTATAAAAAAAGTAATTAAAACCGATATGTAATTACGAAGATACACACATAAGAATAAATATATATCTTTCAGAATAAAAGACATCTTAAAATTTTTTTCAGTACTTATATTATATATGTATACATTTATATTGTTAAATTTGTATTTATTCGAAAATATTATTGTTTAGGTATTTTTGCAGTAGTATAATTATTTAAAGTAAAAAACACCGTAGAGAAATATTTTTAAGTCTACATTTAATATACATTAAATATATGTATATATGTATGTTAAATATATGTATATACATACATATTTTATGTATATTTAACTGAATATATTTGACTAAATATATGTATATTTGACAGCATTATAATTTATTCTGTCTTTATATAGCAATGGTAATATGTTTTACATCTATAAATTCTTATTTGCGTTATTATATTTTTAAAGCTAAAATTTTTCGAATAGTTTTATATTTTACAATAATAACCAATTTATACTATATATATATATATATATTTTATAGAACAATTATATTTAACGATTGGTCATTGTAAAGGAATGAATTTCACTGGCGCGTTTTTGTATTTTGTGATTGATAAACTCAATTTGTTGATTTCCCAACTTTGTCACCTTTTCACGTATCTAAAATAAATTATTTTTATATATATCTACTGTCAATAAATAACACTTTTTCCGCATTATAAGAATATAATATAATTTCTAATTTCTATCGTTAAAAACAAACTATCTATTTATATAAGATGATTAAAATACATTATTCAATAAAAAATATGTTACACAAAAAAATAATTGATATATATATCATATCTGAAATCACAATATTTACCATGTCAAGCATGTCAAGAAAGAACAAATTCGGTTTTAAAATATTTTGAACAGCTTTTGTCACAAACGCTGTAATCTAAATATGTGTAATAATAAATAACAATTTTTTCGCTTTATGAGAATATAATATAGTTACTAATTTTTATCATTAAAAACAAACTATCTATTTAAGATAATTAAAATAAATTATTCATATAAATATATTTACAAAAATAAAAAATATTTTAAATAAAAAACCAATTAATATGAATATCATATCTGAAGTCACATATTTACCTTAACAAACTCGTCAAGAAAGAACAAATTCCCTTTTAAAATTTTTTGAGCAGCAACTGACCCTTTGTCTAGACTATATTTCACAAATGCTGTAATCTAAAACGAATTAAAATATTTACCGTATGAAATATAATTTAGCTATGCACAAAAATCTATCTATTTTCTAAATCATAATTTCCACATAATTTCGTATTTCTAGCATAATTAAATAAAAAAATTTTATGTAATAATATTATATGTACAAATAGATAATATTGCACGGATCAATATCCTGATACAAATAAATGAGTGTACAGAGTACAAAATGTCTCAAAATTTACCTTTTGCAGTTGTACCTTAGAATACACATTATTAATTAAAATAATCAATGCTGCAACCGTACTGACTTCTCTATAAAACCAGAACAATAGGTATACATAGATATTTACATGAAGTGCAAAAATAGTATATGTAGGATATCTTTTATACTAAAAAAACCATTATTTTACCTGGGTTTTAATTTGTCAAAATTATTTAATATATAATCAAGTATTTCATTGTTCTTTGCATGTTTCGTGATTGTGAAAAGAAATCTATTAACACGATCAATGTTTCGAACTTTTAAAGATACATTTTTCAAAGAAACAGCTACTTCTAGATTTTTATCGTCCAAATACTCTTTAATGGAATTAGGATGTGCAATGCAAGTTAGAAATTCCCAAATTCTATTATCAGAGTCTGACATCCATTCTTCAAGTACTGTCTTCCAAATACCAGTTAAATTTTTCTCTGTCATTAAACCTTTACAGTATGTCCATTCCTTCCACCACGGTAAAATTCTATACAATATGTCAAAAATATATATTATGAAAGTATTTAGAGCATGTACATACATCTATATAACCGATTATTTTAACATTATTTAACAAATCTCGTACAAGATACAAGAAAATATGATTTTAACAAAATAATTATAAAAAGTTACTCTTTATGATGAAAGAGATGTTGCTCTAATTTATATTTCGCCATTTGTAGGCATTTGGGGTGTTTGAAAGTACATGCCCATTTGACGACCTCTTCTCTTAAACATTTAATAAGATCGTCTTCTTCAGAATGTTCTTCGTATCCAATGCGTTCAAGAACATCATTCAATATTTTCAGTATGTTTTTCTAAAAATTTTTAAAATATTTAGAATTAGAAAGACATTTAGAAAATATTGTACGTTATATTTTATTCATGATAAATAAAATATAATATTAATTACAAAGAAAATTTGTTTTCAATAGGTAAGTGATAATACGCTAATGTACTAAAAGATATTCAAATATTACAAATTTATGTTACAATGTTGTAAATTTTTTGGAAATTTTAAATTAATAACACATATTTGTACCAAAAATAATATCAATTTTCCTTTCAATACAGATTTTGATTGGATTGCTTTATCTTAAAACTTTATATATAACTTTTAAAAATTAGTATATTAATTTTTATACCATAATTAAAATAATATTAACAGTAACATGAAAACAATTTATTATTAACATAGAATATTTAACATCTAAATCGTAAAATTAAGAATACGCAATCCCAGGGAGAAATGATGGTCGAATTGACGTCGGTTCGACGTCGAATCGATGTCAAATTGATCGAATCGATGTTGAATAGATGTCGATTGGACCAATCATTTCTCGCTGGAAAGTATTTTCTTTACAAATTTTCAATTTTTTATCTAAATAAAATTAAGGAAGAACAGAACTGAATTATTTCGGATATACTTCGTTATCTTCGAAATTTATCTGAAAATTTTGATTATAATATATTTTATATGCAAAACAATCTAAAGCATAAGACTTTAAAAATTTCTTATTATTTACCTTGAAATGGCCTAAATTGAATTGGGTTTTTCATCTGGATTGTAGATTGGAAAGAATTTTGACATACTTTCAAGAGCTTTGATCATAGGATACCATACCACATAATTTGTCTCTTGTGATAAGAATTTTATAAGTTCCAAAAATGAATACATATCGAGTTGTTGCATCGAAAAGAAGTGAAAGGCGTCATCAATGATTTGAGCACGATTAAGAACCTCTATGCCGGAATAGTTTGCAGAATTCAAATATCTCGCAATTATTCGCCAGTATTCAGATTCGTAATTGACACGATAATATCCTATGTTAAATATATTTATAATATTATTAGATCTTTTTATGGAATTTATTGGAAAAATCTTTAAATATCCGTTTTTTGCCTTCTATGTTCAAAGTGTAGAAAATATTGATATTCTATAGTATTATATTTTAAATAACTTTTATAGCATTATATTAGTATTCTACTTAAAAGACTTTGAATTCACCTAGGAAGAAATGATGGTCAAATTGACATCGATTCGACGTCGATTCAATCAATTTAACATCGATTCGACGTCGAATTCGATGTCGATTTGACCATTATTTCTCCCTGGGCAGTGACTTACCCAGTGAGAAATGATTGGTCGAATCGATATCGATTAGACATCGATTCGATCAATTTGACATCGATTCGACAGCGAACCAACGTCGATTCGACCATCATTTCTCACTGAGTTATTAGTTAATAATATTTTACATTATAATTTATCGCATACTATCGTGTTTAATGACCGAGAAATACCTTGTATTTTTGTCAAAATATATAAATATATGCGTATAAAAATAATTTGTACATAAAACCTTATATATAAACATTAAAAAATGAAAAATTAACGCCTTAATATTTACCAACCTTGTTGTAAATCAATTATCACCAATTCATCCTTTTTACAGTGAGGTTCAAATTCTATGTATGAAGTATTACCTAGTTGTTTTTTACTCAAGTAATAACGCCATGTAGTTGATATCTCAATATTTTGTATCCGTTTTATATTAATTATAGTAATAGGTAATAACCAGTCATCGCCAACCAAGCGGTAAAAATTTTCTATCGTTAATCTTAAAGGTGTACAGTTCATAATTTTAACCTTCAGCACAGCATAATGTCTTTGATTGGTCCAAGCATTCATCATTTCTTTTACATTAAATATTTTGGTAGAATTACTATCAAGTAGTTTTGTTGTATTTAGAGCAGCTTGCATAGACCTCCAGAAATCATCAGTAGTTACCAAACTAAACATACTAAATGTAAAAAATTATTGATAAATTATTGACAAATAGACACCACATAAATTATATTATTGCAATTACATTTTAATACGTGTATGTAATTTTGGAACATAATTTGATGTAAATTAATTAAACTATAATTTAATAAAAATGAATGATGCGGGATAGAATTCGAGATATAGAAATTGAAATAATAAAAACAGAGAGATTATTGCTCGGAAAAGGAAATAATATAATAGTAAAATTGAAAAATTAGAAAATAACGAAAAAATTAATATAAAACAGAAAAATTAGAAATATTTTATAAAATTATGTTACTCACTGTTCATTAAGAAACATCTCAATACCACGTAGAAATACTTCATCCGAAAGATGCTGTCGTAACATACGCAATATAACAGGTCCTGCGATAATCACATTATAAAGAGCGTGTAAATTAAAAACATTTAAATTTATATATTCTAGTGTCCAATAAATTCATGAAAGCATCTATAATTGCATAAAGAAATGTTTTTAATGTTTTAATGTTTTTAATCTCAAATTAAATTTTGAAAATTTTTTTTCTAAAAGGTTAATAAATAAACTGCGGCGAAACAAATTTGTGTTTATTCTTTCTAACTTTCTTTTGTAATATTTCAAGAATTTATGGACAATTTAATTATATGATATAGAAAAGTTGTTTTGTCTTACCCTTGATGTAATAAGAAAAAGAGAAAAGTGATTTGACTTCTTTTGTTTTGTTGATTTTGAATATAACTGGATCCATAATACCCCACTCAAAATAATCCAACTGAAGAGATTCTAGTTTACTTTGTACTGCAAACAGATCCAATATACTTGTGGAATTTGAATCTTGAAAAATCTATAAATAAATAAAAGTTTAGTGTAAAATTAAATAATCAATACATATTTTCAATGAAATGAGCTCATGCATATTATTGTTTATTACTAAACAAATAACTTTTCTATTTCTTGTTAAGTATGGTTTTTAACTTATTTATATGTGCGACTATTTATTTAAGATTAGATATTATTACAATTATCTCTTTTCATATTTTAATTAACACGTGACATATTTTAAATTTGATTAAAACATTCTTTATATTCTAGATTTTTTATAATTCAGAAATTTTATCAGTGATTCGTTTATTAGTACATTTATAAAAAGCATTTTTTTATTATTTTTTATTAACAAATGTTTTTTTAACTGTGTATAATTAAAACAGCACTATATATAAAATTAATTACAAAAATAACCTTGTGGATGATATCCATTCCTAACAGTCTAGCAATACCTTCGTTCAACCAAAAATGAAAAAACCAGGATGGAGTGATCAGATTATTAATCCATTGACGTGCCACTTCATGCGCTATGAAACATGCTGTTTTTATTTTTTTGGAAACAGGATCGAACTTTTTATCATATAAAACATTTGATGCCCTAAAAAGTATTGTAAATAATGTAACTATATAAGTTTCATGACAAACATGATGTTTAATGGTTTTTCATATTTTAATTATCATACTCTAATTATATATATTACCTATAAAGAATAAGGCCCATGCTATTATGCTGAGGACCCGCGGAAGTTATAAGATGATATGTAGATGAAAGGTTCTGAGAATATGCCATCCATTCGATTTCGAAGCGTTTTGTAACGTTTTTAATGAATAATAAATTATCTATTACAAAATGTGTGTCTGTACGGAACAACACTTGGCGTAGTATGTTATACTCAATGATCGGGAAATTAAGAGTATCATATAATAGGAGCGATATGAGATAAGTAGGCATTAAACGAGTGGTTTTGAAATGTGTCCACACCATGTTATTTTCACCGACAATTTCTTTTAGTATCGGCATAGTTGACCGCACAGAATACTGCGTATGATGCTTCACACTAATATTAAACGTCGCCTTAAATTTAGGTTCATCCAAACATGGAAAAAATTGTCGAGCCCCAATTGCCCCGAGTTGTGTTGCGAGAAACCACCTACCATATTTTAATAAAATATTTCATAGAACAAGAAATGGTTAACCAGCATTAAAAATTGCTGACATTAAAAGTTATAATAGGGTACAATATTAGAGAATATATTATATACAATATGTATAGATATATAAGTTTTATGAAACGTGCTTGAAGAATATTAATATCTCGTATTTCATTACACGTATTTTACAGTATTTTCAACATTTACTCACCTTTTTTTCTATTAAACCGTGTACGTGTATAAGTTTTGAAAAAAGCGTTTCCATCATTGTCTGAGCGTCCGATGAAACTTATGTTTAATAAATAATATCCTTTTTGCAATAGTTCAGGGAAGCAAAAGTTGACAATATGAGTGTTTCCCTTATACGGATGAATTACCGGGCTATAAACTTTTAATGACTCCGTATTGGTGACAGTAAAATTTTCTATTTTTATCTGCGGTTTTTGTGCGTGCACAGCTATGCACCACGATACAAGGATAATCTTGACGTAGGCCTCACATCTACCGAAAATCTTAAAATTTTTCTTTTCTACTTCGAAATTTGGTTCTAACTTAAGATTATAATGCTCTGGTATAATGTAACGCGGTAAAGTAGATCCTGTTGAAAATTGTGCATTTATAAATGTTGCATTTATAAATATTAGATTGTATAAAAAAAGCTTTAACAACAATCTCTCCATGTCAAATCTTTTGTTAGAATATCTGTAACAAAGTAATTTCTTATTTAAAAAAATATAAATACAAATAAAATATACTGTTAAGCTTTCTTTTGTATGTATGTTTTTGTATGTATGTTTATTTACGAAAAAGAACAGAAAATGTATACAAGATTAATTTTTATTAAGCAGAGATAATTAAAAAAATGATTAATATGATTTATCATTGTACACATCGACCTGTACTATGTGTATATCAGTCTTATGAATTCTCGTTATTATAATTTATGTTCAGCATATGTGTTATAATGACATGAAAATGATTTTGCCATACTTTCTGCGATTAGAGAAAAAGATTAAACATACGAATTTATCTTATATTTAGTCAATATATTATATTTAATAAAATATTTTATTATAGTAGATTTATATTAATTATTTATATATATCTCATTTTGTAACATTTTACATTTGTTATCTGATGGCAATAATTTTTGAAATAATTATAAAACAACAAAATTATTGTTTCCTTAAATATTTTAATTCAAACCTAACTGCTTAAATTTAAGACTTATTCAGTATATATTACATGTTTGAAATTCTAAATGTTACTTATATTAATAATACTTTTAATTCTAAGAAATGTGACTTTTAAAAATTAAACCTGTGCTCGTTGTTTGTATCTTATAATTAAATTGTGTTCTATTTATTCTTTTATCTTCAAAACATATTGAATAAACATATTGATATTTTTTTCTAATGACTTACCTCTTTTATTGAAATTCCATACAAATTGAAATAATTTTTTATTGAATAAACTGTAATTAGCGCAGTATTACGTCCTTATTGCCAGAAGTATATGCCACACAATTACACTCTTACCGTTCCGACAGACCACCGAAAACTGACGAATCTCGATACTGCTATAATAAGTATGTATAATGTCACGTAAACAAGGTCGTCAACTGTTTTCCTAACTTATTAACACGCTCAAATATCAATATATGTGTGAAATATATTCTCATATTACTTTAAAAGTTACCTATTTAACTTGGCAATGTGCATAAAAAATTTAAAAACTATATTTTATATTTTAACTGTTTATTACTTTTTTACTCTTTATCTTTCGCTTATGCTTATATTATAATGTATATGACGTATATATATATATGATGTATATGTTATATGATAATGAATAATATATATATACATACATTGCAATAATAATTTTTATGCATACATTACAGTAATAATGCTTATGTATGCACACATTACAGTTTTTAATATTTTATTAACATTTTATTAATTTCGTTTCGCCGCGTAACTACATTTGATAAATAAAACGAAATGACATAGGTATATATGTGCTATATAAATATAAATCTCTTAAACTGATATATATCTTTTATTTTCTAGCAATGAAATACTGATGCATTTTATCAAAATTTATACAATCTATTATAAATATAAAAATGTTGCTTATTATAACAATCGCTTATTATAGGAAATTAATTTTATGTTTGTAATAACAAAACAGGAATTTTTTGGATTATGAAAATGTACAGAAAAAGAAAACAATATAAAAAATTGTATTGCATAATTTATTATAAATGAGTGATACAAAAATATAACAATAATTTTAATATTAATACAAATAAAAAAAGTGTAAAAAAAGTAATTAAAACTGGTATATGATAATTATGGCGCTACACATAAGAATAAAATATATCTTTCGGAATAAAAGACATCTTAACAATTTTTTCAGTACTTATATTATATTATATATATGTATATGTATAAACTTTTAAATTCGTATTTAATAAAAAAAATTATTATTTATGTATTTTTAAAAATGCGATATAGTATAATTACTTAGAGTAAAAACACCCTAGAGAAATACTTAAGTCTATATTTAATATACATTAAATATATATATATATATATATATATATATTTATTTATTTATTTATATATTTAACTAAATATATTTAAATAAATATATAAAAGACAGAATTATACTTTATTTTGTTTTTATATAGCAATGTTAATATGTTTTACATCCATAAATTCTTTTTTGTTATTATATTTTCAAAGCTTAGAATTTTTTCGAATAGTTTTATATTCTCCAATAATAACTAAAATTAATTAATTTTTTTTATAACTTTGTTAATAATCCTTATTCTTCTAAAAGTTCTTAAAATAAATAAGAGTACAAAAAGTTACTTATATCATTAAGATAAATATGTGTGCAAAAAGTATAATTTATAGATTTTATAAAACAATTATATAACGATTAGTCATAAGAAATAAATGTGGTATAGCAGTGTAAAGGAATAGATTTTACTGGCGCGTTTTCGTATTTTGTAATCGATAAACTCACGTTGTTGATTTACCAACTTTTTCGTCTTTTCACGTATCTAAAATTAATTATTTATATATATATTTACTGTCAATAAATAACACTTTTTTCGCATTATAAGAATAAAATATAATTTCTAATTTCTATCATTAAAAACAAACTATTTATTTAAGATGATTAAAATAAATTATTCATATAAGTATATTTACAAAAATAAAAATTATGTTAAATAAAAAAAAAATATATATGAATCTCATATCTGAAATCACAATATTTACCTCCTCAGAAAAGATCAACTTCCATTTAAAAAAATTTTCAGCAGCAACAATCCGTTCTTCTAGAAACACTTTAATCTAAAACAAATTAAAATATTTACAGTATAAAATATAATTTATTTTTGCACAAAAGTCTACCTAATTTCTAAGTCATAATTTCCACATAATTTCATGTTTTTAGCATAATTATATCCAGAAATTTTGTGTAATATAGTATGTAAATGTACATAATATCATATAATAAGCACGGATTAATATCATAATACTAATAAATGAATGTACAGAGTACAATATGTTTCAAATTTACCTTCTGCAGGTGTACCTCAGAATACACATTATTAATTAAAGTGATCAATGCTGCATTCATACTGACTTCTCTATAAAACCGGAACAATAAATATACATATATATTTACATAAAGTGCAAAAATAGTATATGTAGGATATATTTATACTAAAAGATTTTACCTGGGTTTTAATTCGTCAAAATTATTTAAAATATAATCAAGTACTTCACTGTCCATAGCATGCTTTGTAATTGTGAAAAGAAATCTATTAACACGATCAATGTTTCGAAATTTTAAAGATACATTTTTCCAAGAAATAGCTACTTCTAGATTTTTATCGTTCAAATACTCTTTAATAGAATTAGGATGTGTAATGCAAGTTAGAAATTCCCAAATTCTATTATCAGAGGTTACTATCCATTCTTTAAGTACTGTCTTCCAAACACCAGTTAAATTTGTCTCTGTCTGTATACCTTTACAGTATGTCCATTCCTTCCACCACGGTAAAAGTCTATACAATATGTTAAAAATATATATTATAATAGTATATTAGCTAACAAGTTCGGGGGATTGTAAATCGCATGATCGGCCGATTTATGACCCGCACATGTTGGCTACGATATTTTGTGTGTCCGTTGCGTGGAAAGAGAGCCCTTTCTAAAATCTCATTATGTGCGTAAAGGGCGACTTTTCGCGCGCCGGTTGTACAAAAATATTTAGAGCATATAACCAATTATTTTTAACATTATTCAGTAAATTTTATAAGTTACAAAATATTTAGTAAGTTACAAGATACAAGAATATATGATTATAACAAAATAATTATAAAAAATTACTTTTTATTTTGGAAGAGATAATCTTCTAATTGATATTTCGCCATTTGTAGGCATTTGAGATGCTCGAGAGTACATGCCCATTTGGCGACTTCTTGTCTTAAACATTTAATAAGATCGTCTTCTTTAGAATGTTCTTCGTATCCAATGCGTTCAAGAACATCATTCAATATTTTCAGTATGTTTTCCTAAAAGTTTTTGAAATAATTAGAATTAAGAAGACATTTAGAAAATATTGTACGTTATATTTTATTTATGATAAATAAAATGTAATATAAACAATAAAGAAAATTTGTTTTCAATACTAGAAAAATGATAATAAGCTAATGTCCTAAAAATTATTTAATTTTACGAATTTATGTCACAATTTTGTAAAGTATTTTCACAATTTACTAAATAATAACACATATTTGTAACAAAAGTTATATCGTTTTTTTTCAATGAATGTTTTCATTAGATTGCTTGTATCTATAATTAAAATAATATTAACGGTAACATGAAAACAATTGATTGTTTTTAAAATTGAATGTTTAACATTTAAAACGTAAAACTGGGTATACGCAAGTATTTTCTTTACAAATATTTCTTTATCTAAATAATATTAAAGTAAAACATGACTGAATTTTCTCGGGTATACTTCATTATCTTCGAAATTTTTCTGAAAATCTTGGTTATTATATATTTTATATGCAACAATGTAATACATACTACTTTTATTAATGAAAAATCTTATCATTTACCTTGAAATGGCCTAAATGGCCAAATTTGGTATTTTCCTCTGAATTGTAAATTGGAAATAATTTTGACATACTTTCAAGAGCTTTGATCATAGGATACCATACCACATAATTTGTCTCTTGCGATAAGAATTTTATAAGTTCCAAAAATGAATACATATCGAGTTGTTGCATCGAAAAGAAATAAAACGCGTCATCGATTAATTGAGCACGATTATGAACATTTATGGCTGGATTTGCATAGTTTCCAGAGTTCAAATATCTGGCAATGATTCGCCAGTTTTGAGGTTCGTAATTGACACGATGATATCCTATAGTAAATATATTCATAATATTCTTAAATTTTTATGATGAAGGTTATTAGAAAATATCTTTAAATATCCGTTTTTTCCTTTCTTTTATGTTCAAAATAAGGAAAATACTGATATTCTGTAGTAATATATTTAAAATAACTTATATAGTATTATATTAGTATTATATTAATATTCTATTTAAAATAGAGTTTGAATTCAGTGTCTTACTATGGTTAATAATAATTTACATTAAAATCATCGCATACTATCGCGTTCATTTAATGTCCGAGAAATATCTTCTATTTTTGTTAAAATATATAAATATATGCGTATAAAATTAATCCGTACATAAAAACATATATATATATATATATATATATATATAAACCTTAAAAATAAAAAAGTAACCCCTTAATATTTACCAACCTTGTTGTAAGTCAATTATTAACAATTCATTCTCTTCACAATAAAATTCATCAATTTCTATGTATGAAATATTATTTTGTACTTTATTGTAAGTATAACGCAATTTAATTGATTTTAAAATATTTTCTTTCCATTTTATAGTAATTATAATTATAGGTAATAACCAGTCATCGTTAACTAACTGGTAAAAATTATCTATCGATATTTTCAAAGATGTACAGTTAGAGTATTCAACCTTCAGCATAGGATAATGTTTTTGATTTGTCCAGGCATTCATCAACCATTTTACATGAAATATATTGCGTTCAGCTGTATTAGAGCAGCTTGCATAGCACTCCAGAAATCATCAATAGTTACTGAACTAAACATACTAAATGTAAAAAATTATTGATAAATTATTGACAAATAGACACCACATAAATTGTATTATTGCAATTGCATTTTAATACGTGTATGTAATTTTGGAACATAATTTGATGTAAATTAATTAAACTATAATTTAATAAAAAATGAATGATTCGAGATAGAATCGAGATATAGAAACTAAAATAATAAAAATAGAGAGATTTTTGCTCGGAAAAAAATAATATAATAGTAAAATGGAAAAGATAATTAAATAAAGAAAAAATTAATATAAAACAGAAAAATTAAAATATTTTATAAAATGATGTTACTCACTGTTCATTAAGAAAAATCTCAATACCATGTAGGTACACTTCAGCCGAGAGATGCTGTCGTAAAATACGCAATATAACAGGTGCTGCGATAATAACATTATAAAAAGCGTGCAAATTAAATACATTTAAATTTATATATTCTAGTGTCCAATAAATGCATGAAAACATCCATAATTACGCAAAGAAATGTTCAAGAATTTATGGACAATTTAATTATGTGATATAGAAAAGTTGTTTTGTTTTACCTTTGATGTAATAAGAAAAAGAGAAAAGTGATTCAATTTCCGAGGTTTTGTTGATTTTTGATATAAGAGGATCCATAATACCCAAAAGATAATGATCCAACTGAAGAGATTCTAATTTACTTTGTACTGCTAACAGATCTAATATACTTGTGTAATTTGAATCTTGAAAAATCTGTAAATAAATAAAAGTTTAATGTGAAATTAAATAATCAATAAATATTTTCAGTGAAATAAGCTCATGCACGAATTCTTGACATTAAGCGACAATAATTGTTTATAACTGTTTATTATTGTTCATTACTAAACAAATAGCTTTCTTATTTCTTATAAGTGTGATATTTTACTTGATGATGTGTGCGACTATTTGCTTAAAAATAGATATTATTGCAATTGTTTTTTTTTCGTATTTAAATCATTTTTTATATTTTAAATTTTTTATAATTCAGAAAGTTAATTAGTGATCCGTCAGTGCATTTATAAAAGACGTTTTCTTTATAATTATTTTATTAAGAAATTTTTTTAACTGCGTATAATTAAAACAGCACTATATATGTAATTAAATAAAAAAACAACCTTGTCGATCATATCCATTCCTAACAGCCTAGCAATACCCTCATTCAACCAAAAATCAGACCACGAGGATGGGCTAACCAGATTATTAATCCATTGAAGTGCCACTTCGTGTGCTATTAAGCACGCTGTTTTTATTTTATTCGAAATAGGATCTAACGTATTAATATAGAAAACATTTGAGGCTCTAAAAATTTTTGTAAATAATGTGATTATACAAGTTTTATGACGAACACGATGTTTAATGGTTTTTCATGTTCCAATTATCATACTCCAATTATATGTATATATTACCTATAAAGAATAAGTCCCATGCTATTATGCTGAGGACCCGCGGGAACTATAAGATGATTTGTTAATGAAAGGTTCTGAGAATATGCTATCCATTCGATTTCGAAGCGTCTTGTAACATTTTGAATGATTCTTCTTGCAAATTTTGTGTTCAAATGGAATAACAGATTGTATATTCTGTCATACTCAATGATCGGGAACGAATGTGAATCATATAGTAGGAGCGATATGAGATAAGTAGGCATTAAACGAGTGATTTTGAAGTGAGTCCACACCACGTCTTTTGTATCTTCAGTTTCTTCTCGTATCGGCATAGTTGACCAAACATAATACGGCTTATGATGTCTAACACTAATATTAAACGTAGCCTTAAATGCAGGCTCGTCCCAGCATGGAAACAATTGTCGCGCCCCAATTGCCCCGAGTTGTGTTGCGACAAACAACCTATCATATTTTAATAGAATATTTCATCGAACAAGAAATGGTTAATCAACATTAAAAGTTAGTGACATTAAAAGTTATAATAAAGTACCAGGTTAGATAATATATTATATACAAATGTATATGTACACATGTTTTATAAATCGTGCTTAAAGAATAATATCTCGTATTTTATTACAGGTATTTTACAATATTTTCAACATTTACTCACCTTTTATCTGTATTAAAATGTGTGTAAGTTCTGAAGAAAACGATTCCATGATTATTTGTGAGTCCGATAAAGCTCATGTTTAATAAATAATGTCCTTTTGATAATATATCATCGAAGTGAAACGTGAGAGTATGAGATTCATTTTTGTACGTAATATCTGACGGCTCATAAATTTTGAATGACTCTCTATTGGTGACAATAGTATTTAGTATTTCTATTTGCGGTTTTTGTGCGTTCAAACTTATGCTGTACGTTGGAATGGAAATATTGACGTAGGCCTCGCATCTACCGAAAAATTTAAAACTTTCCTTTTCTACTTCAAAATATGGTTCCAACTTGAGGTTATAATGCTCTGGTATAACATCGAGATTATAATCCGATAAAAAAGCTGTTGCATTTATAAATATTAGATTGTATAATAACAACTTTACCAACAATCTTTCCATGTCAATTCTCTTGTTGGAATATCTATAATAAAGTAATTTCTTATTTAAAAAAATATAAATATAAATAAAATGCAATGCAAAGCTCTCTTTTGTATGTATTCTTTTTTTTCGAAAAAAAGCAGAAAATAAATACAATAAGATTAATTATTATTAAGCATAGATAATTATATAAAAGTTTAATATGATTTATTATTGTACGCATCGACATGTATTGTATATTTCAGTCTTATAAATTTAACTATATTTACATTGTAATGATATTTTCGATATTGTAATTTATGTTCAGCATATGTTTAGCGATGACATAAGTACGATCTTGCTATACTTTCTGTTATTAAAAAAAAAGTTAAACAAACGAATTTATATTATATTTCGTAAATATATTATATTTAATAAAATATTTATTTGTAGTAGATTTATATGAAATATTTATATATAACTCATTTTGTAATTTCTTGCATTTGTTATCTTAAGTCATCATAATTTCTGAAATAAATATTGAACAAAAAAATTTTTGTTTTCTTAAATATTCTAGTTCAATCCTAAACTTAATTTTTAGACTTTAATATATATTATATATGTTTAAAATAATATATAGTACTTGTATTAATAATAATGTTAATTCTGAAAATTATGACTTTTGAAAATTAAATTTGTGCTTATTGTTTGTATTTTATATATAATTAAATTGTGTTTTGTTTATTCTTTATCGTCAAAATTAAATATATTCATATTTTTTTCTAATGACTTACCTGTTATATTAATACGTATGCAAATTAAAATAATTTTTTTATAAATAAACTGTAATTAGCACAGTAATATATACGACACGTCCTTATTGCGGGAAGTATATGTCACACAATTACAATCTTTCCGTTCCAAAAGATCATCGAAACTGATGACAATCTGATACTTGGTGCTATAATAAATATGTAATGTCATGTAAACAAGGTCGTCAGTTGTTTTCATATCTTTTTAACACAATCAAATATTAATACATGAAATATATTTTCATATTACTTTAATAACAAAAAACAATAGTAATATTTCATATTACTATTGTTCTTTTGCAATGCGCATAAACAATTTAAAAATTTTATTTTATTTTTTAACTTTCTTTACTTTTTAACTCTTTATCGTTCATTTATGCTTATATTATGTTATATATATATTATATGATAATGAATAATATATATGTATACATGTATACATATATGTATATTGCAATAATAATTTTTATGCATATATTACAATAATAATGTTCATGTATGCACACCTTACAGTTTTTAATATATTATTAATGAGTAATATAATTTCGTTTTGCGCGCGTGATTATATTCGATCGATTATACGAAATGATATAAATATATATGTGCTATATAAAAATAAATCTCTTAAACTGATATATATCTTTTATTTTTTAGCAATGAAATACTGTTGCATTTTATCAAAATTTATACAATGTATTATAAAATATAAAAATGTTGCTCATTGTGACAGTCTTATTATAAAATTGATTTTATTTTTGCAATAATAAAACAGGAATTTTTGGATTATATAAATGTACAGAAAAAGATAACAATATAAAAAATTGTACTGCATAATTTGTGTATTATAAATGAGAGATACAAACATTTACCAATAATTTTAATTATAATACAAATAAAAGAAGTGTAATAAAAGTAATTAAAACCGATATGTAATTACGAAGATACACCCATAAGAATAAATATATATCTTTCAGAATAAAAGACATCTTAAAAATTTTTTTAGTACTTATATTGTATATGTATACATTTATGTTGTTAAATTTGTATTTATTCAAAAATATTATTGTTTAGATTACAGCGTGCAAAATATTTTTGCAGTTGTATAATTATTTAAAGTAAAAAACACCGTAGAGAAATATTTTTAAGTCTACATTTAATAAACATTAAATATATGTATATATGTATGTTAAATATATGTATATACATACATATTTTATGTATATTTAACTGAATATATTTGACTAAAAATATGTATATTTGACAGCATTATAATTTATTTTGTTTTTATATAGCAATGGTAATACGTTTTACCTCTATAAATTTTTTTTGCGTTATTATATTTTCAAAGCTTAGAACTTTTTCAAATAGTTTTATACTCTACAATAATAATTAAAATTGATTAATTTTTTTTTAAATTTCATTAAAATACTTAATATTTTTAAAAGTTTTTAGAATAAATAAGAGTAATACAGAAAGTTAATTATCATTGAGATAAATATGTGTGTAAAAAGTACATTTTATACTACATATATATTTTATAGAACAATTATTTAACGATTAGTCATTGTAAAGGAATGGATTTCACTGGCGCGTTTTCGTATTTTGTAATAGATAAACTCAATTTGTTGATTTCCCAACTTTTCGTCTCTTTACGTATCTAAAATTAATTATTTATATATATATATATATATATATATATATATCTACTGTCAATAAATAACACTTTTTCGCATTATAAGAATATAATATAATTTCTAATTTCTATCGTTAAAAACAAATTATTTATTATAAACAAACTATTTATTTAAGATGATTAAAATAAATTATTCATATAAGTGTATTTAGAAAAATAAAAAATGTGTTAAATATAAAAACAATATATATGATTATTATATCTGAAATCACTATATGTACCTTCTCAGAAATAAGCAACGTCCATTGTAAAAAATATTTAGCAGCAATCCGTTTTTCTACAAACGCTTTAATCTAAAACGAATTAAAATATTTACCGTATAAAATATAATTTATTTTTGCACAAAAGTCTACCTAATTTTTAAGTCATAATTTCCACATAATTTCATGTTTCTAGCATAAGTATTACAGAAATTTTGTGTAATATAGGAAGTAAACATAGATAATATCGCGCGGATTAATATCATAATACTAATAAATGAATGTACAAAGTACAAAGTGTTTCAAATTTACCTTCTGCAAGTATACCTCAGAATACACATTATTAATTAAAGTGATCAATGCTGCATTTATATTGACTTCTCTATAAAACCGGAACAATAAGTAGATACATATTTACATGAAGTGCAAAAATAGTATATGTAGAATATATTTATACTAAAAGAAAACTATTATTTTACCTGGGTTTTAATTTGTCAAAATTATTTAAAATATAATCAAGTATTTCACTGTTCTTAGCATGCTTTGTAATTGTGAAAAGAAATCTATTAACACGATCAATGTTTCGAAACTTTGAAGATGCATTTTTCCAAGAAAAAAGTACTTCTAGATATTTATCGTTCAAATACTCTTTAATAGAATTAGGATGTGTAATGCAAGTTAGAAATTCCCAAATTCTATTATTAGAGGTTACTATCCATTCTTGAAGTACTATCTTCCAAACACCAGTTAAAGTTGTCTCTGTCTGTATACCTTTACAGTATGTCCATTCCGTCCACCACGCTAAAATTCTATACAATATGTCAAAAATATATATTATAACAGCATATTAGCTAACAAGTTCGGGGGATCGTAAATCGGCAGAGAGTGCGAAAGTTTGGCGCACGAGGGGAAGCCGAGTGTGACAATCCGCACGATCGGCCGATTTATGACCCGCACATGTTGGCTACAATATTTTGTGTGACCGATGCGTGGAAAAAAAGCTCTTTCTAAAATTCTATCATGTGTGTAAAGGGCGACTTTTCGCGCGCCGGTTGCACAAAAATATTTAAGGCATATAACCAATTATTTTTAACATTATTTAGTAAATTTCATAAGTTACAAAATATTTACATAGTAAGTTACAAGATACAAGAATATATGATTATAACAAAATAATTATAAAAATTTACCGTTTATGTCGGAAGAAATGATCTTCTAAATCATATTTCGCCTTTTGTAGGCATTCGAAGTCCTCGAGAGTACATGCCCATTTGACGACTTCTTGTCTTAAACATTTAATAAGATCGTCTTCTTCAGAATCTTCTTCTTCGTATCCAATGCGTTCAAGAACATTATTCAATATTTTCAATATTTTTTCCTAACAGTTTTTAAAATAATTAAAATTAAGAAGACATTTAGAAAATATTGTACATTATATTTTATTTATGATAAATAAAATGTAATATAAACAATAAAGAAAATTTGTTTTCAATACTAGGGAAATGATAATAAGCTAATGTTCTAAAAATATTTAAATTTTACAAATTTATGTCACAATTTTGTAAAGTATTTTGACAATTTTCTAAATAATAACACATATTTGTAACAAAAGTTATATCGTTTTCAATAAATGCTTTCATTAGATTGCTCTATCTTCAAACTTTATTTGTAACATTTAAAAATCAGTATATTTTTTTTTGTATGTACAATTAAAATAATATTAACGGTAACGTGAAAACCATTGATTGTTTCTAACATAGAATGTTTAACATTTAAATCGCAAAATTGAGAATACGCAAGTCCTTCTTTTACAAATTTCGAATTCTTTATCTAAATAAGATTAAGGAAAAACATAACTCTATTTTCTCGAATATATTTCATTATCCTCGAAATTTTTCTGAAAATCTTGATTATTATATATTTTATATGCAACAATCTAATTCATATCACTTTCATTGACGAAAAATCTTATTATTTACCTTGAAATAGCCTAAATGGACGAATTTGGTTTTTTCCTCTGAATTGTAAATTGGAAAGGATTTTGACATACTTTCAAGAGCTTTGATCATAGGATACCATACCACATAATTTGTCTCTTGCGATAAGAATTTTATAAGTTGTAAAAATGAATACATATCGAGTTGTTGCATCGAAAAGAAATAAAACGCGTCATCGATGATTTGTGCACGATTATGAACATCTATTTCTAAATAGTTTCCAGAGTTCAAATATCTAGCAATGTTTCGCCAGTTATGAGGTTCGTAATTGACACGATAATATCCTACAGTAAATATATTCATAATATTATTAAATTTTTATGATGGAAGATATTAAAAATTATCTTTAAATATCCGTTTTTTTTCTTTCTTTTATGTTCAAAGTAAGGAAAATACTGATATTCTGTAGAAATATATTTAAAATAACTTGTATAGTATTATATTAGCATTATATTAGTATTCTATTTAAAATAAAATTTGAATTCAATGTCTTCCTATAGTTAATAATAATTTACATTATAATTTATTGCATACTATCGCGTTTATTTAATGTCCGAGAAATATCTTCTATTTTTGTTAAAATATATAAATATACGCGTATAAAAATAATTCGTACATAAAACCATATATATATATAAACATTGAAAAATGAAAAATTAACTCCTTAATATTTACCAACCTTGTTGTAAGTCAATTATTAACAATTCATCCTTTTTACAAAATCCATCAATTTCTATGTATGGTATATCATCTTGTACTTTATTGTAGGTATAACGTCTTTTAATTGATATTATAATATTTTCTTTCCATTTTATACTAATTATAATAATAGGTAATAACCAGCCATCGTTAACCAACTGGTAAAAATTTTCTATCGATATTCTCAAAGATGTACAGTTAGAGTATTCAACTTTCAGTATAGGATAATGTTTTTGATTTGTCCAAGTATTCATCATCCATTTTACATGAAATCTATTGCGCAGTTTAGCTGTATTTAGAGCAGCTTGCATAGCACCCCAGAAATCATCAATAGTTACTGAACTAAACATACTAAATTTGTAAAAAATTATTGATTAATTATTGACTAAAAGACACCATATAAATTGTATTATTGCAATTGCATTTTAATACGTGTATGTAATTTTGGAACATAATTTGATGTAAATTAGTTAAACTATATTTAATAAAACATAAATTATTCGAGATAAAAAAATTCGAGATATTGAAACTAAAATAATAAAAATAGAGAGATTATTGATCGGAAAAAAATAATATAATAGTAAAATGGAAAGATAATTAAATAAGAAAAAATTATTATAAAACAGAAAAATTAAAAATATTTTATAAAATGATGTTACTCACTGTTCATTGAGAAATATCTCAATACCATGTAGGTACACTTCAGCCGAGAGATGCTGTCGTAAAATACGCAATATAACAGGTGCTGCGATAATAACATTATAAAAAGCGTGCAAATTAAATACATTTAAATTTATATATTCTAGTGTCCAATAAATGCATGAAAACATCCATAATTACGCAAAGAAATGTTCAGGAATTTATGGACAATTTAATTATGTGATATAGAAAAGTTGTTTTGTCTTACCTTTGATGTAATAAGAAAAAGAGAAAAGTGATTCAATTTCCGAGGTTTTGTTGATTTTTGGTATAAGAGGATCCATAATACCCAAAAGATAATGATCCAACTGAAGAGATTCTAATTTACTTTGTACTGCAAACAGATCTAATATACTTGTGTAATTTGCATCTTGAAAAATCTGTAAATAAATAAAAGTTTAATGTGAAATTAAATAATCAATAAATATTTTCAGTGAAATAAGCTCATGCACGAATTCTTGACATTAAGCGACAATAATTGTTTATAACTGTTTATTATTGTTCATTACAAAACAAATAGCTTTCTTATTTCTTATAAGTGTGATATTTTACTTGATGATGTGTGCGACTATTTGCTTAAAAATAGATATTATTGCAATTGTTTTTTTTGTATTTAAATTAACACGAAATATATTTTATTAATTAAATCATTTTTATATTTTAAATTTTTTATAATTCAGAAATTTAATTAGTGATCCGTCAGTGCATTTATAAAAGACTTTTTCTTTATAATTATTTTATTAGAAAATTTTTTAACTGCGTATAATTAAGACAGCACTATATATGTAATTAAATAAAAAAATAACCTTGTTGATCATATCCATTCCTAACAGCCTAGCAATACCATCGTTTAACCAAAAATCAGACCACGAGGATGGGCTAACCAGATTATTAATCCATTGACGTGCCACTTCGTGCGCTATTAAACACGCTGATCTTATTTTAATCGAAACAGGATCTAACTCTTTAACATAGATAACATTTGATATTCTAAAAATTATTGTAAATAATGTGATTATACAAGTTTTATGACAAACACGATGTTTAATGGTTTTTCATATGCCAATTATCAAACTCCAGTTATATATATTACCTATAAATAATTTGTCTCATGCTATTATGCTGAGGACCCGCGGGCATTATATGATGATTTGTTAATGAAAGGTTCTGAGAATATGCCATCCATTCGATTTCGAAGCGTCTTGTAACATTTATAATGATTCTTCTTGCAAAATATGTGTTTATATGAAATATTGTATCGTACACTTTGTCATAGTCATTAATCGGGAACGAATGCGTATCATATAGTAAAACCGATATGAGATAAGTAGGCATTAAACAAGTGATTTTGAAGTGAGTCCACACCACGTCTTTTGTATCGGCAGTTTTTTTTCGTATCGGCATAGTTGACCAAACATAATACGACTTATGATGTCTAACACTAATATTAAACGTAGCCTTAAATGCAGGCTCGTCCCAGCATGGAAACAATTGTCGCGCCCCAATTGCCCTGAGTTGTGTTGCCACAAACCACCTATCATATTTTAATAGAATATTTCATCGAACAAGAAATGGTTAATCAACATTAAAAGTTAGTGACATTAAAAGTTATAATAAAGTACCAGGTTAGATAATATATTATATACAAATGTATATGTACACATGTTTTATGAATCGTGCTTAAAGAATAATATCTCGTATATTATTACATGTATTTTACAATATTTTCAACATTTACTCACCTTTTTGTATATTAAAATGTGTGTAAGTTCTGAAGAAAGCGTGTCCATGATTATCTGAGAGTCCGATAAAGCTCATGTTTAATAAATAATGTCCTTTTAATAATAAATAATCGAAGTGAAACTTGAGAATATGAGATTCATTTTGTACGTAATAAATATCGGCTTATAAATTTCGAATGACTTTCTATTGGTAACAATAATATTTTGTATGTCTATCTGCGGTTTTTGTGCGTGCAAACTTATGTTGTATATTGGAAAGGTAATCTCGACGTAGGCCTCGCATCTACCGAAAAAGTTAAAACTTTTTCCTTCTACATCAAAATATGGGTCCAACTTGAGGTTATAATGCTGTGGTATAACATCGAAGTTATCCGATAAAAAAGCTGTTGCGTTTATAAATATTAGATTGTATAATAACAGCTTTAACAACAGTCTCTCCATGTCAAATCTCTCGTTGGAATATCTATTATAAAGTAATTTCTTATTTTAAAAAATATACATAAAATATACTGTAAAGCTTTCTCTCTTGTATGTGTTTTTTTCGAAAAAGAACAGAAAATAAATACAATAAGATTAATTTTTATTAAGCTGAGATAATTATATAAAAGTTTAATATAGATTTATTATTGTACTCATCGTCATGTATTGTGTATTTCAGTCTTATGAATTCAACTATATTTACATAATTATAATGATATTTTTGATATTAAATAATTTATGTTCAGCATATGTGTTGTAATGACATAAGAATGATTTTGCCATACTTTCTGTGATTACAGAAAAAGGTTAAACAAACGAATTTATATTATATTTCGTAAATATATTATATTTAATAAAATGTTTATTTTGTAATATAGATTTATATTAAATATTTATATATATAACTCATTTTGTAACTTTTTGCATTTGTAATCTTAAGTTACCACAATTTCTGAAATATTATTGAGCAACAAAATTTTTGTGATAATTGTTTTCTTAAATATTTTATTTCAATCCTAAACTTAATTTTTAGATTTCAATATATATTATATATGTTTGAAATAATATATACAATATTTGTATTAATGATAATGTTAATTCTGAAAATTATGACTTTTAAAATTAAATTTGTGCTCATTGTTTGTATTTTATATATAATTAAATTGTGTTTTGTTTATTCTTTATCTTCAAAATGAAATATATTTATATATTTTTGTAATGACTTACCTCTTATATTAATACTTATGCAAATTAAAATAATTTTTTATTAAATAAACTGTAATTAGCACAGTAATATATACGACACGTCCTTATTGCGGGAAGTATATGTCACACAATTACAATCTTTCCGTTCCGAAAGATCACCGAAACTGATGACAATCTCGATACTATAATAAGTATGTAAATTCATGTAAACAAGATCGTCAGTTGTTTTCCTATCTTTTTAACACAATCAAATATTAATACATGAAATATATTTTCATATTACTTTAATAGTTTACTATTGTTCTTTGCAATGCGCATAAACAATTTAAAAATTTTATTTTATATTTTAACTTTCTTTACTTTTTAACTCTTTATCGTTCATTTATGTTTATATTATATATATATATATATATATATATATATATATCATATATTAATGAATATAATATATGATACATTGCAATAATAATTTTTATGCATACATTACAGTAATAATGCTTATGTATGCACACATTACAGTTTTTAATATTTTATTAATGAATAACATATGGTTACTTACAATGTGTAATTAAACTAAATTAAAAATAAAAGATTTTAACACAATATAGATAATAACAATGTAATAGTCTTCGATTAATATCTAATAGATTTAAATAATATTTTGACTTAAACTTAATGATAATGGGATGTATATTATCAAAATTAAAATATATTTTTCGCTAATTTTGCTTAAGAAAGACGGCTTTTAATTTAATCATAAAAGTGATGAAAAGAACATGTGATTGTTTTGGAAGTATTTACCTATATATGTTTTATTTTCTAGATATCCTTTAGGTAATATTATGATAAATACCGCTCTAATTATATAATATAAAATATATAAATCAAGGTTCTTTTATATAAATTCGACCAATACACACACACTAGCTATAAATTATTTATTTGTTACGACGTTTCGACTATCGGTTTAGGTCCTTTTTAAGTGTAAGTTCCAATGCAATATAATGTTAGCGGCACAATCCCTCAATACATGAGAGAATCGTTGTGTCATGATGAAAATCAGTTAAACAAATGAATAAAAATATATAAAATCCCGATAGAATTATCTAGAACGCAAATATATAATAAATATATTGTATGAGTCTATTTTTGATTTTTATTGCACAGCCATTTTCTCTGCGCGCGCTTTTTTTTTAATTAATAATATAAGTTTCCGGGGATATTTAAGTTATTTTATTTGTTATAATATTTTATTTTGTAAATATTAATGGAATTGTTTTGTAATAATAACTTAAGTATAAATATATTTGGTATTGCAATTCAATTCGAGAAAAATTATTTTATATTTTCATGGTTTTTTATCCTTAAAATTGATAAAGAATTGATAAAATTATATGTCTAATGTGTGTTTGGCAAACATACTCTTACATTTTTTGTTATATGGTTCAATAACATTGATGGTTCTTAATTAAGTTAATTTATAATCACGCTACTTTTCATGTGTTTATCAGAGGCGCGTAAAAGCTTCCGCGAAAGCTCGATTTATATGTAGCGCATTTCTCCCTCGCATAATCCCCAAGGGAAATCGCGAGGGAACCTTAACTCTCAACACCATAAATTCAGGCCGCGTAGCGTCATTAGCACCGAATAACGAGGTTGGTGTTATGGTTGTTCCAGCTGGAGTCCTGATCGCGGGTTCGAAATAACGAAACCGACGCAACACCACGTCACATTCTCGGAGATCCGAAAATAAAAGCCTCTTAAACGCGGCTCATTTGCATGGAGATTCGTCATCTGTCGTTATTTTCGCAATTTTATAGTATCTGCAATCATTTATAAAAATTTTTAAGAAATATAATACTATATGTTATTTAAAAGAATTATATTATATAAGTATATAAAAGATTGTTTAAATATAATTGAAGATTTTTATATTGTATAATATCGCACTTCAATCAATTATACAATCGTCAGTTTTATTTTAAGCTGTCACAAACTTGTCCAATAATAAAATCTTGTTCAATTGTAAAATAATAGCATCTCTGTGCATATTTTCCAATTTATTTTATATTGTATATGCTTGAGTATGTATAATAAGATGGGTGACTCATATTCACAAAGAAGCATTGTTCATGCTTTAATATTTAATTTATTTTTATCGTGTTTTGTTTTCGAAAATATACAATTTTATATAATTTATGTTTTACATAATTTAAGACTAGATCAAAGCATATGTTCGTAGCTCGTTTCCTTCTCTTTTGCTCTCTTCGCTACAGCTTTCTCCCTTTCTACTTACAAGTTGAAAGAGTGATTGAAAATTTATCGATGACTAAAATGCAACAAGAAGCCAATTTCTAAATACTTCTCTTGGGCTAGAAAAGTATTATCACGATATTTTTATGAAATTTCTCTTTTTTATATTTCTATGATAGAAATGTTTAAGAAAATAATCGGTAACAGAGTAATTACCAAAAATAGATGCGCTGTCATAAATAATTTTATATCAAATATTAAAATATATTTTATCTCTACTTATCCTATTTTATTGCAAAAATCAATTATACAAAAATATTAGACATAGCATTATGGAAAAATTAAAATATTATTAAATTAATAGTAATTAATAACTTTCCAAAATAAAACACAGCTACAGTAATTATAAAACAACGTAATGTTGCATAGTAATTGTTTATGAAAATGTGTGTATGTTTTTAACGCTGTCTGTCATACGTCTAGATAAGTAGAAATATTTTAATGTATAGAGATCGTGAATGTTAAAGCGAAGAATGATGATGCAGCAAGATGAATCGATCCCGTCTCGTCATTTATTCATCTCGATCTACGATGCCGACAAGAGTTCTATGGAAATTTATTTATCTTATGATCGGCAAATGACAACACCCACGTATTCACTTCCTTCATTTATGGACATACTAACTGCACGTTTGTGCATAAATGTGATGCATATTCTTATAGCGCAGAATCGTCACTAAACCTGTAAACAACGATTTCTTTCACGTTGTTATAACAATTAAAAAATTAAATTATTATCATATATTATTATAATTATTATTATATTCTGATTAATGTTATATAACTTTATTTAAATTCTACGAACGATGGAGGGATGATTTATCCAATGATTAGTTGATTAGTTAGAAAAACAAATCAAGAAACGACGCGTCTTTGTTATGATATTGCAATTCTTCTTTTTGCAGCTAACAAAATTACGTTCATGAATACGACGAGTAATTCGGATTTAATTTAAAAGAAATTTCTGGGGATCGGTTTAACAGCGACATCAGCCAGGTAATCAAGAGAAGACTCGATGCACCCATTATATCGATGTTTCATATTTTTCTGCCTTTCTCCGCCGCCTCCGAGTACACAGATTGGGATACCAAAACCGTGCAATTACTCGCTCATAAACGAGCGACACTAAAGAAAGTTATGCGCCTGGTCAATAAAAAGCATCGTCAATGACACACGGCCGCCGGCAAAAAGCGTTAATGGTCCCCGCGTAAGACTTGCGAGCGCGATATTATGTTATACAGGGTGTTCGTCTTTATTAGAAGCAAATATGAGAAGCTCCAAGCTCGGCGATGAGG